CCCGGGGTCGCCTTCTGCGTGGACACTGCCCGCCCGTGGCCTCTGTCGTCTTTCCTGGCCTGGCGTTCTCTGTACCTGGGGTCGTGTTCTGCGTGGACACTGCCCGCCCGTGGCCTCTGTCATCTTTCCTGGCCTGGCGTTCTCTGTACCTTTCTCTGTACCTGGGGTCGCGTTCTGCGTGGATACTGCCCTCCCGTGGCCTCTGTCCTCTTTCCTGGCCTGGCGTTCTCTATACCCGTGGTCGCGTTCTGGGTGGCCTGTCTCCTCCTGCTGTTCACGGTCTCCCTCCCTTTATGAAAGAAGGTGCACAGGGCTTGTGTGATTTGCTCTTCAGCGCTTCACTCAGAACAGGCGGAACTAGCTTTGTGGAGAGAGTGGTGGTGTCCTTGAGACGCCTTCCCGGGGCTGTGCCAGAGCCTTGTCTTCTCTCCAGGCTCTTCCCAAGTAGTCTGACAATTTGGAAATAACATCTTGTCAGAAAAACTCAAGTGATTTGGGAACAGAGGTCATAAGGATGAATCTTGCATTTCAACATTAGGCGAGAACCACTGTCTCTGATCAACCTGCGGAAGAGGAACGTGGAATCTGGGGAAGAAGAGCTGGCGTCCAAGCTGGACCACTACAAAGCGAAGGCCACCCGGCACATCTTCCTCATCAGGCACTCCCAGTACCATGTGGATGGCTCCCAGGAGAAGGACCGCACTCTGACCCCACTAGGTATGTGGAGGGGGTCAGATCATCTACAGCCCCCTTGGTTATGTGGGGGGTTCGGATCCTCCACTAACCCCCCCTTGGTTATGTGGCGGGGGGTCAGATCCTCCACGGATCCCCCTTAGTTATGTCGGGGGGGTCAGATCCTCCGCGGACCCTCTCGGTTACGTGACTGGGCGCAGGTCTCCAGAGACCCTCAGTTGGCTTTTTTGAAACTGCTTGGGGCATGGGGCTTCCTGGATCCTATGTCTGAGACCATCACCCCTGAATCAAACATTGTCATTACCAGTAACTGTCAGCTGCACTTGGACATAGACAAGCTTTTAAAAATGTCCTTCCTTTGGCCGGGTGTGGGGGTTCACACCTGAAATCACATTACTTTGGGAGGCCGAGGCAGGCAGATCGCCTGAGGTCAGGAGTTTGAGACCAGCCTGGCCAACATGGTGAAATCTCATCTCTACTAAAAGTACAAAAGTTAGCCAGGTGTGATGGCTCACACTTGTAGTCCCAGCTACTCGGGAGGCAGGAGAATCGCTTGAACCCAGGAGGGGGAGGTTGCAGTGAGCCAAGATCACGCCACTGCACTCCAGCCTGGGCGACAGAGCGAGACCCCGTCTCAAAAAAAAAATGTCCTTACCTTTTAGCAAATGTTAGATCTTGTCTGCATGAGACCAAATTAGATGAGTGCAAATCCCAGCAGGAGCCTTGTGCCTGCATGAGGCACTGGAAGTAGCATGGCTTGTGCCATCTGCTGCCCACCTGGATCTGCTACCAAAGACCGTCTCTTCTGCACTCACCGGCCTGCTGTCTGGCACCTGCCTCTTAACACCCTGCAGAGTGGGCGACTCAGCGAAGGGATCCCGCCTGTCCCCATGGCAGATCCTGGCAGACGGCGCCAGGAGGTCCTTCCGCCTTTGTCCTGTGTCCGTGTGCCAGCGGAGCTGTAGGATAAATGCCTAGGAAAGGAAACGCACGCTGGGCTGAGGTGGAGTTTTCAAGTTCTGAATGGGATAGTGTCCATCAGGCACATATTAAAAATTAAAACGGTACACATTTACAGGCCTGTCCTCCAGCAGGCGCCTCCCCCAGCCCCAAGAGCTGTCCTGGCTGCTTGTGGAAATGGGAAGTGAAGGGGACGCAGCTGCCTTCCTGAGGGCGTTTTCACCTGGGTGCCAAAGTTCACAAGAGAAAAGGCGTCAGCACTGGCGTTGGACCACCTACGTGCCAGCACGGGTGCTCAGGTCCCGCTGTGCTGGCCTCTGAACGTTGCGTGGCTGGTGGGCCACTGAGGCTCAGGCTTTGGGCTGCCGTCTGGTTTGCTTGCTGCTGCTGCTGATGGAATCAGATGCATTTTTTTTTCCTGTACGGGGGTGAAGACAACTGGACGATCTTGTTGCTTGTCCTGAGTGCCGGCCCTTCAGGCCCAAGCCCCAGGAGGGCAGGAGCCCTCCATTGGCCGGTCGCCTGATTTGGGCGCCCTGTTTGTGGAGGGAGGAGGGTGTGCAGGTGTGCGTCCCTCTCAGGCGTGTTTTGCCCTCCAGGTCGGGAGCAGGCTGAACTCACTGGGCTCCGCCTCGCAAGCCTGGGGTTGAAGTTTAATAAAATCGTCCATTCTTCTATGACCCGCGCTGTAGAGACCACCGACATCATCAGCCGGCACCTGCCAGGTGAGCTCCAACGCGGGGCCTCTGTGCCTGCAGTGAGGGCAGCTCGCAGCAGGCTGTGGCCTGAGCTGCTGGCTGCGGGGCGGTCACAGCAGCTCCTCTGGCGGGGCCGGGCGTGGTGACGGCTGCACTCAGGGCCCCCGTGCTTCTCCCCAGGGGTCTGCAAAGTCAGCACAGACCTGCTGCGAGAAGGCGCCCCCATCGAGCCGGACCCGCCTGTGTCGCACTGGAAGCCAGAAGCTGTGGTAAAAACCTCCCCGCCTCCCCTGGCTTCGCGGCTCTGCTGGGCTCAGCGTCCACCACGGGCCGGGCTGTCCCACGCTTCCCGGGCAGTGATGGGCTCTGTCCTGATCCCCGCCTTGCCCTGTATCCCACACTGACGGTCCTCCACTCTGCCCCCAGCAGTATTACGAAGACGGAGCCCGGATCGAGGCCGCCTTCCGGAACTACATCCACCGGGCAGATGCCAGGCAGGAGGAGGACAGTTACGAGATCTTCATCTGTCACGCCAACGTCATCCGCTACATCGTGTGCAGGTGGGCAGCTGCCGGCTGGGCTGGGTGTGGCCTCAAGTGATTTCAGACTTCTAGGAAAGCAGGACCAAGGACGGAGAAGCCGAGCGAGCCTCCCCCCACCCCTCCGCTGCCGATGCCACCCTAGTGAGGCCCTTCCAGCCCACAGGCTTCTGCACCAGCGAGTCCAAGTCACTCACACAGTAGGAGGCCTGTTATTTGGAGTTTCTCATGAGTATGTGTTTGGGCAAGGGTAGTGCAGACGCGGAGGGTGCCGGCGTGCATCTGCCCTGTGGTGCCCCGGTAGGGGTAGGGTGTGCACTGGGCATCACACGGCCCTGGTTGTTTACCTGGCTGTGATCGAACATCTCGGGAGACATCCCGTTGCCCTCACACTCAGCCGCCTCTGCCTCCGGCTGGATCCCCCGCAGCCTGTTGCTGGTGCTTGTCCGCTGGGGATCCCGTCTCGTTCACTTGCTCATCTGTGGCTGCTCCCACCCATGTGCTGGGTGATAGCATGGGACGTCCACTCCTCCAGCTCCCCTCTCTTGGGCACCACAGAAGTGATCTGGGAGCAGGCTGCGTGTCCCTGGCCACAGCCCTGCAATCAGCCACTTCTTTAAGGAGCTCCAGGGCTGCAGCCACATTATAGGCCCCTCCGGGGACAGGGCCAGCTCTATGGTTATGCACTTGAAGCAGTCAGAAGGGTTGACAAATTTGTAGTCAATGTGCCTCTCTCCAGATCCATCAGGAACATGTGTGTGGGCTCCACAGTGAGGCCCCTCGGGTGTGGCGGGTCCTGCGGTTGGCGGTACGATGGCACCGGTCAGTGATGCCGCTTGAGGACGGGCCCTGGTTTCTGCCCGCCTGTCCACTTGGCCTTTCACCAGGGCTGGGGCTGGCAGGCAGGAGCACCCGGGAACTCAAGGAGCTTGGGAGTTGGATTGAGCGCGCTTTTCTGTGGGGCTTGGAGCCCCAGGTGATGTGGTCTCGGGCTGCTGTGCTAAGTGAGCATCTGTTTGCTGTGGGTCGTCCACTGCCTCGTGTGTGCGTGCGTGTGAAGGAGACACATGGGTGGTTTCTGTGCTACTAACACCACCCTGTGTGTCCCATGACACCATCACCCCGAGGTGACAGGTGCTGAAAATGCACAGAAATAGCCAGGGCAGGGGGGCAGAGCTGACCTGTGTGGATACAACACGAGGGCCGGGCAGGTGCACTTGGACACGGGGTCAGTGTGCTGTCCGCCCACGGCCACCAGCGCCACAGGGCAGCAGTGTGAGGGTGGCCTTGCTGTCCACTGAGGCAGAGGGTGGTGGGCAGCTGGAGGCGGTGATGCCAGCACGGAGCGTTTCGAGAAATGCGGACCGTGCCTAAGACGTGCGTGAAGATGCCACGGGCTGTTGTTCACATTACTGTCCTTCGCTTTCCCAGAAAGGGACCTGCTGCACTAATTGGCTGCCCCCTGCTTTTTTTTTTTTTTTTTTTTTTTTGAGACAGAGTTTCGCCCTTGTTACCCAGGCTGGAGTGCAATGGCGCGATCTCGGCTCACCGCAACCTCCGCCTCCCGGGTTCAGGCAATTCTCCTGCCTCAGCCTCCTGAGTCGCTGGGATTACAGGCACGCGCCACCATGCCCAGCTAATTTTTTGTAGTTTTAGTAGAGACGGGGTTTCACCATGTTGACCAGGATGGTCTCGATCTCTTGACCTCGTGATCCACCCGCCTCGGCCTCCCACAGTGCTGGGATTACAGGCTTGAGCCACCGCGCCCGGCCTCCCCTGCTTTTTTTATATGGAAAAAAGCAGAAATTAAATTGTTTATTTGTAAGAAGTCAGCATTTTTCTGATTTGTGCGATCTTGAGTTGGGGTTGGGCCCTTATCCTAAAGAGGGCAGGTCCCTAAGTGTGACAGCTCGACTGACGTGGATCCCACCCAGCTCTTCCCCAAGAAGCTAATGCGTACCCCAGCCCTGAGGCTGCCCTGAGACTTCTTACCGAGGGGCTTGTCCCCCGTCCATAGGACAGAGCCCCCCGCCCCGACCCGGCTGACAGCAGGACAGAGCCCCCCGCCCCGACCCGGCTGACAGCAGGACAGAGCTCCCCGCCCTGACCCGGCTGACGGCAGGACAGAGCCCCTGGCTCTAGTGTGCTTTCTCTCCTCCTCAGAGCGCTGCAGTTCCCTCCCGAAGGCTGGCTCCGGCTCTCCCTCAACAACGGCAGCATCACCCACCTAGTCATCCGACCCAACGGCCGAGTTGCACTCAGGACCCTCGGGGACACAGGGTTCATGCCCCCTGACAAGATCACCCGGTCCTGAGGGCGCCCGCCAGGCCCCGGCCTCTCCTTCCCTCTGCCCTCCCTGCACAGGCTGCACCGCAGTCACGTCTTGTTCCTGAGGAGGCCGGCAGAAAGTAGAAACCCACGATGCTGCACCTGGAGACCGACTTCTGGCCAGGCTGGAAAGGGGAGAGTTCTGATCAGACAGCCTCACTTCTCTGCAAGGTTTGATACCTGGCTGTGACCCGCCAGCATGGCATGGGGTTTAAGGTGAGAGCCTCTCGTACAGAAGTCAGGCCTGTTCAGGGGACTTGAAGAGGCCTGGCCCAGACCACCATGTTGGCAGCCACAGCCCACCCTTGCTGAGGGTCCATGCTCCGCTGGCAAAGCTGGACAGGCACAGGCAACTGAGGCACACGGATGAGGGCACTGAGGTTCTGTTCACAACTCACTGCACTTCATACATCCTCTTAATTTCTTAAAACCTTCCTGTCACTTAAATGTTTGTCAATTAAAGCTTTTCTGGCTGGGCACATGGTGCACACCTGTATTCCCAGCTGCTTGGGAGGCCAAGGTGTCAGGATCACTTGAGCCCAGGAGTTCAAGACCAGCCTGGACAAGACAACAGCGAGACCCCACTCTACTAACAGTACAAAAGTGAGCTGGGCGTGGTGGTGGGCCTCTTAGTCCCAGTGATGGGAGGCTGAGGTGTCTGCGCCCGGGAGTTGGAGGCTGCAGTGAGCTGTGATTGTGTCACTGCACTCCAGCCTGGGCAGCCAAGGGAGACAGGAAAAAGTTTCTCCAAATTTACAGATTCCTGGTGATGTTGGATCTGACTCCACCAACTTGATTAGGCATTTCGGGGCTGAAGGACTAGCCAGCTACACAAGTGACTTTGGACAGGCCTGGCCTTTGACCTTCATGCTGCTCTCAAGGTTGAGGTGACACGCTTGAGACAGCCCAGCAGGGGGTTATCCTTATTCAATAAAATATTCCAAATTGACAGCTCAGTCTTAGCTTAAGGATTAAAATATTTAAACGTGTGTATCCCAGGTATTCTGTTAATTCAGGAAAAGCTGTACAATTTCTATAAAGTGCTTGTATTTTCTGTAATCGATATAATTGGGATATTTGATCTATTTCTCTGTCCACTTTGGAAATGATTACATAATAAAATTTTACTGTTTTTTTAAAAGGACTAGTTTCAGCTGCGTTAAAAATGGGAAACTGGCCGGGTGCGGTGGCTCAATCCTATAATCCCAGCACTACAGGAGACCAAGGCAGGCAGATCACAAGGTCAGGAGTTTGAAACCAGCCTGACCAACATGGTGAAACCCTGTCTCTACTAAAAATACAGAAACTAGCCGGGCATGGTGGTGGGGGCCTGTAATCCCAGCTACTCGGGAGACTGAGGCAGGAGAACTGCTTGAACCCGAGAGGCGGAGGTTGCAGTGAGATCTCGCCACTGCACTCCAGCCTGGGTGACAGAGCGAGACTCCATCTCAAAAAAACCCAGAAACATGCAGTGTGACAAATGAACCCTTTGCACGGCGTCCTGCCTCCCCATGGCTGACGCCTCTGCCTGCGTCGCACCAACTGCCTGCTCACAGGACTTCCGCCAGTGGCCTGGGCCCTCTCCGAATCCCTGTCCAGTGGCTGTGGAGAGGACAGCCACAGCAAACGTACACAGCTGCCTAGAAACAGTCTTGATAAGCCAGGGCCGCGCCAACTTCAAACAAATTCCAGGCACACTCACGTTTGACCTCAGATGGGAGCGAGGCTCATGAGGACGGGACTGGCTGCACACACGGTGCCCGCACACCACAGCCCCAGCGCTGGGCCGGCAGGGATGGGGCTGCGCTGCAGGGCTGAGCCTTCGTTTTGCTTAGGGCCCCGGCTCCTCTGTGAAGCTGGAAAGCTTGGAGATGGCTGGGCCAGCAGGTTTGCAGGGCAGCAAAGCTCACTATGTGGAAAAGACCACACACAGCTGGCCGCCATCCCCCACCCACCCCGCGGCCACTCCCATCGCTCACGTCACAGGTGTGATTCTGACTCACATGAAGATCTGGACGGACTACCTGGTCAAAGAGGGGATGGGAGGGAGAACATGAGCAGTTGTCAATGGATTACAAGAAACCAGCGACCCAGAAGTCTTGAAATGCGTCTGCAGAAAAAACCCAGAAGGAAAAAAACCTGATTATGCTGCTTAAGTCAGATTTGAAGTCAAGGATGTGAAATGGGCTTTCAGATTTTGAAAAGTTAAGCTCATCAAGGATTAATCAATGTTTATTTTTTAAGAGCACATAGCAATGATAACCTTTTTTGAAGTCTACAGCCCTTGGTATTCCCAGGCAGCCTCCAATCCATGCCCTAACCAGGCCCTACCCTGCTGCTTATCTGCCAAAATCAGAGAGATTGGGAGCGTTCAGGGTAGCATGGCCACAGACGATTACCTAAGTTTCTTGAATATGAAACTTTAAATAATTTTCAGTTTCTTTTTCTAGTGCAAATTCCGAGCACGCTTGTTTTTTTTTGAGACATAGTCTAGCTCCGTCACCCAGGTGGGAGTGCAGTGCCACAATCTCGGGTCACTACAACCTCCGCTTTCGAGGCTAAAGCGATCCTCATGCCTCGGCCTCCCAAACAGCTTGTTCTACAGGTGTGCATCACTGCACCTGGCTAATTTTTGTATTTTTAGTAGAGATGGGGTTTCACTATGTTGGCCAGGCCAGTCTCAAGCTCCTGGCCTCAAGTGATCTGCCCGCCTCAGCCTCCCAAGCATATGAGCCACTGCACCTGCAGGCTTTTCCATTCTCAAATACCTGCTGTTCCATGTGGTCCTTCCGTCAACGGCCTTTTCAGTCTTTTGCATTTGGGACAGACGTAGATTCAGCAAAGTGAGGATGGCTTCTGGCTTGGCCAGTAGCTGGTGGGGTCTAATTTCTGAATGCTGGACTCGGAGCAGGCACAGTTGGGGAGACCAGGGAGTGGGGAGCTGACGGATGTCAGGGCAGCCCCCAGGGATCTCAGCATGTGAGTGTGCGTGTTGTGTGTTGTGAATGCCTGCAGGACGGGAGGGCTGAGGGCATCTGGACTGGGCCAGTCACAGGGCCCAGGGATGCCAATGATGGAAACTGTCCCCTAGTCTGGGACAGATGACTGAAGACTTCTCCAGTTGGTAACAATACCCTCAGTCTGGCCAAAGTGAAAACCGCACACCAGAAGCCTGATTGAGACCGGCGGGAACGGCGTGCCACCAGATGGCAGCCAGCTGCCAGGGACTGTCCTGCTGACATTCTTCCACAACCGTTTCTCAAGACAGCTGAGAAGAGAGCACTGGCGGGGCCATCAGAGTGGGCACAGGGTTTCCAACCACGCCCAGCAGACACCTGCGCCCTGCACGCGCACACAGCCTGGCCTCAGCCAGGGTTCTGCCCCAGCTCTTCCCTGAGAAAGTGCTGCCGGCTTCTGGAAACATCCAGATGACTCAGGAGGACCTGGCTGTGGTCCCTGCCATGCACTGCTGACACTCTCACGGCTGGCACGAGGCTCCATAGTTGCTTTTACCCTAGAAACGAGCAGCAGACTCACCAGGCATCTCCCTCACAGCTGCCACCACCTGACCCACTCAAGCAGGGTGCTGGGCATCACGCTTTCAAACCAAAGCCATCATACCAACTGTAAACGCCACAAAGGTTCCCACTGCCGAGAGCCACGATAACATCTGTGCTCCTTTAACTTACGCCAGAAAGTCTTTCACAACTGAGCTAGTCAAGAAAGGGGCTGAAAAACAGCAAGTAAATGTGAGGGCGCCCAGGCTGACACGCCACGTCACCAAGATAGTGCAGTGTGCCCGGGTGGGCACAGGTGAGAGGGATCCTTCTGAAAGCTTAGAATTATTACTGCGTGATTTAGAAGTAATTCATTTCTTTAAATGTTTCGTAAGGGACATAAACCCCCTGGGACACACGAGAATGCCTTTGCTGGGACCAGAATCACCTCCCACAAACAAACGGAGAAAGTCACAGGCAGCCTAAGCTGTGGGAAATCAGAGCAACAGTCTACATACAAAATTAGGGCAAGAAACTTTTACTTTCTATTTGAATTTACAATATACAGACAACATGGTAAGATTTTAGAGAAAACATATCATCACTATGAATATCCATAATCTGATTTCTTTTGAGAACCAAGATGCCTTTTTAAAAGGCTGCTTTTTAGAACAGAATGTGTTGTTTCTGTCTGGTATCTAGATCTTATCTGCTACACCCTGTGTAACAAACTTGAATTTTAACATTTAAAATCAAAATTTTAAAATTTTGATTCCAATATTCCTGACCTATCTTTTGTCATGTAAAAGAAACAAGCTTTTTTTTGAGACGGAGTCTTGCTCTGTCGCCAGGCTGGAATGCTGTGGTGCAATCTCGGTTCACTGCAACCTCTGCCTCCCGAGTAGTTGAGACTACAGGCACGTGCCACCACACCCAGCTTACTTTCATATTTTTAACAGAGATGGGGTTTCACCTTATTGGCCCACACCCAGCTTACTTTTATATATTTTTTTTTTTTTGAGACAGAGTTTCGCTCTTGTTACCCAGGCTGGAGTGCAATGGCGCGATCTCGGCTCACCGCAACCTCCGCCTCCTGGGTTCAGGCAATTCCCCTGCCTCAGCCTCCTGAGTAGCTGGGACTACAGGCACGCGCCACCATGCCCAGGCTAATTTTTTGTATTTTTAGTAGAGACGGGGTTTCACCATGTTGACCAGGATGGTCTCGATCTCTTGACCTCATGATCCACCCGCCTCGGCCTCCCAAAGTGCTGGGATTACAGGCTTGAGCCACCGCGCCCGGCTACTTGGGGTTTCACCTTATTGGCCATGCTGGTCTCTAACTCCTGACCTTGTTTTCCGCCCGCCTCAGCCTCCCAAAGTGTTGCCATTACAGGCGTGAGCCCCGCCCCT